CTGTTTAGCGTACAATTTCAATATTGTCTGCTTATTTTTTTTGTTTTAGAAATGTAAATGTTTGCAGATGCGTTCTTGACCTCGCCTATTTTACATATTGCGATAATGATGTTTTAAGGTATTTTATTAATATATACTGTTCAGTTTCTTTTTCACATTTGCGATGTTTATTCGCCCAATCGCAATTCTCTTATTGTGAGTCTTTGTATAAAACGCTGTTTAGGTTGTGTATATTACATGTTTTCTGTGTACCAGACTGTATTTTGGAGCCGGAGCTTCCGTCAGGTTATATAGTTATTCGCGTTTGCTTCGTTTTTTTCTGTTATAGGTACAAAAATTAAAAGGTGAAATAAACCTCGACCACATACTTCAAAATGACGCTCCTCTGTCGCTTGTGTGTCATTTCCTAATGTTTCAAACATTCCACCAGGAATGATCAGCAGGAATAACATGATCACTTAGGCACGTGTTGTGGCTATTGTTATTATTGTTTAGCTGTCGATATCGACGACGATGATGATGACGACTATTCAGCTTTTGGGCATGCCACAGGGGACAGGCTATAACAACGGAGGTATTACGTAAAAAAGAGGGGTTTCAGGTTCGAATACCCGATCCTACTCGAAATGAAGGTTCATTTTTCCTTATTTTATCTGTATCAACCTTCAATTTTCGTTCAATGACAACGCTGATGTTTCGCTCACAACCAATGAAGCCGCCGGCGTCAACACCGGATTATCTACAAAACAATCTGTTCATAACATTTTGATCTTAGTAGTATTTTAATGCACTTACGGATGCCGAACTCACAGCTCTCTACTTTATTTATTTATTTTTTGCTATCTATACTGTGGGTTCGTTTATCGGTAAGCAAAAAGCAGGTATATTTCAGACAGCTGACAGCTTTAGAACGCATTAACACTGTTGTTTTGAGTTCGATGCAATTTAACGCTACTGACTGCAAATGCCAGTTGTCTATTAATTTTATATAAGAAAGTGAGTGATAGTTTAACGTGTATGCTGTTCAAAGCCTAAGTAGCCTAGCTGACTTCTACCAGCCATATTGGTGGAAACACAAGTCACGTCTACGCATTATACATTTAATTAGATCGCACGACAAATGCAGACAACACGCTGCTTGTGAAACTGTCTTCCCCACCTCAAGTATGTTTTTGTAAAAAAGCCAGCTCTACAGGCATATGACAACGGGTTTTCTTTAAGTTGAAGCGAGGCCGGAATGCATTCCAACGTGTCTCTTAAACTGCTTTCCAGCACGTTCCCACATTCCTGGAGCTTAAAAAGTGCTTAATTTTTCGTAATTGCTACCGCCATTACCACACGTGTAGTAAGCACGTGCAGCGGCGGTTAGCATATATCTTCCACCACGCGTTCGACTTGGTTGGAAAGCGTGCTAATGTGGTCGTGTGGCGGCTGCGTGATTTCTTTCGGTTTGTCCAGCCTAGAATAGCTCAGCGAATCAGTGTGGGTTATCAGATGCAACCAAATGAGACCAACATAGCTAAAAACGAGAAAAAAGCTGGAATAGTTAGTAGTTATTTATGATAAAAGGCGGCAGGCGGGTGACCACGAACACAAGAGTGTGTCCTGGCCTCTCCCCTGTACCCTTGTTTGCATGCCTATTGTCTGAACCAATATATCATGAACCAATATAGCTAAAAGGCAGCGTTACGGTAACAAGGCCATTTACATATGCATTCTTAGAAAATATTTTCGATCTCAAAATGAGATTACAGCGCAACTTCCATTCGTTTACCCTTCAGAAAGTACGACGAATGAAAGAATGAGCATTGTAACATTTTTCCGCCTAAATAGTAAGCTGTCTAGTGCAAAAGAAGATGGGCGAGAACGGGGTACAACAATATGGTTAGGTATTTACACGTACGCCATTTGGTTTCTACAAAGAACTGCTTCAGAAATATGCGCTGTTTACGTAAACAGAAACGCCTCGGCCTTCGTCGGATTGATCCTCGTGATAAAGACGTTGGTCAAGTAGGCGAAAATCACGTTAAAAAAAATGCATCGGCACAGGGCGCAAGTCCAAAGACCATTCATGACAACGAATGTTTCTATATTTTGCGGAACGGTCGGAAGTCTGACAGGTCTTCACACAAGGTCTCCACTTGGAAACGTATGTGCGGTCAGATGAGACGTCTAAAACAAATAAATAAATAAATGAATAAATAAAGACACGATCAATGCCTGAGCAAGCTCACAAATAAATTCAGTACTCCTGCTTTACATGTTCTGTAAAAAAGAAAAAAAAAGATAAACAAAACACAATGATGCGTTTTCAGCATGGAGAAAAAAATCTCATTTGTTGGAAACATGCAACCACCGCTTAACGACGCCAGCCCCCGAGAGTATACGCGATGGTGGGAGCTTGTCGGGGCCAGGTAACCTTAATCCCAGTGAGCGCGATAACTTATTGCTCGCTTCTTAATTTATCCCGCTTGCTTTCGCACGAGCCTACTCTCAATAG